GATGTGTGAGATAGGAACTCTCCTACATTGCTGGTGGTCTTGTAGATACATAAGCCTCTGTGGAAAGTGATCTGGCGATATTTAAAGCAAATGGAAATTGATATACCTTATAACCTAGTTATCCCTCTAGTGGGCAAATAACCAGAAGAGGTAAGAAATAAACTACAACCAGTCATTTTTGCTTCAATGTTTATTGGGGAGCAATTCACAATCACAAAGCATTGGAAACAACCTAAAGTCCCATCATTAGATGTGTGGATTAGTAACTATGGCACATACACACAATGGAGTACTATGCATCACTAAAAAGCACTAACAAAAAAAAAAGCACTAATGATCACAAGGAGGAAATTCTGCTAAGTGAAGTCAACCAGTCACAAAAAGACAAGTACAATGAGTCCCCGAGGTAAGTACAGTGGAAGAAAATTCACTTATCTCACAATACATGGGTTGAGGTATATGCAGTTGGGTGGAGTTCAGTCCAAACCCAAGGAGGTACATGTTAACCCAATAAAAAGAAGGGGAAAGGGGTGAAAGGGGAGGGAGTAAAAGGGGGTGTAGATGATGGCATGGGATATCAGTGCACTAACTCACCCAGGGGGAGAGTATTGGTTATGTCTCCACAGAATTGGGAGTGTGCATAGAGACCCCACCTCCGTACCCCAAACCATGAGGGAAACATAACCAAGTGGAGAAATCCATGAAGGTTGGGCTAAAGGACTGGTCCCAATCAGCCAAACTGACCCCTTCCAAAGAAATATGTGTGACAGAGAACAACACTAAACCTACAGGTTGGGGAGAGGGGCCTGCATACCACACCCACACGGAAGCAAACCAAGAGAAAAATGAGAAAGGGACGGTCTAGACCCCATATCAGCACAGGAAGCCTGGAGGACAATGTCCCTGCATGGAGCTGCTAGGGCACAGGGAGGCCTGTATGGCTGACAACAGCTTAGGAAATAATTGTCCCCTCATTGGAGCATACTGTGACAGAGGACACTACTGGGGGCACACAGTGGAGAGTTAGTCTGGTCTGAATCCCCCGGAGTGGGGAGAACCAAGATGGGAACGTAACAGATCAGCAACGGAAACAAAGCAAAGCCATAAAGCTCCTAAAGAGCCCACAACATTGACTTCAGGCTGGGAGGGGAAGCTCCCAGAATAGCTCCATGTCCAGTGGGGAGATAGTCATAAAAGACAGCTGACAGACCTGGAAATATATAGGTCTTTTCTTTTTTTCCTCAATCTTTTGTTTTCTTTTTGTTTGGTTCATAAGAAACAAGCTCAAGGAGAAAGCAATAGGACTGATGATCCCAGAGGCACTTGGTGGGAGCACAATGAAACACATAATATTCCTCTGGTTCCTTGAGGTTTCCTCACCCCTCACTATCAAGACCCCAGTGCTGCCTTTCACGTCAGACTAGACCGGAGCAGGTGCACAGGTATAGATAAGAGATAAGGTACACGATACACAGAATCCAGGAACAGGAATGGGAAAAGCGATACCAGAAGGGTAGAAAAAAGGTGGGGAGAGAAAGGGAGGAAGGGGGAACTGACTGTAAGGATTGACACATCACCACACACACCTCCCTCCATGGGGACGAATAACAGAAACCATGGAGGAAAGGTAGCGACTGTTATTGTAAGATATGAAAATAAGAATTTATAATATATTAAGGGGTCACGAGTTCGGGGGTGGAAGGACACTGATACCAAGGGGTCAATAGAAAGTAAATATCTAGAAAAGAATAATGGCAACAAATGTACAAACATACTCGATACAATTGATATATGGAATGTTATAAGAGTTGTAAGATTCCCCAATAAAACAAAAATAAAAGCAGGATATTCATTATGACTACATGTGTACATTAAAAGATACAAAAATAAGTTTAGAAATTATATAGACCATGATATTCAACTAAATTTAAATCTTAAAAACAAAATATAGAAAAACAATTTACTTGGAAATATGTTGCTGAGAAATTTGGTGGAACAGAGTTGAACTTTAATTAATAATTTTATGAAGTATAAATAAATTTTATTAAGTATACTTAGTAAAACTAAGCATAAATAATATAATTTAATTATCACTAAGAATACTGAGTGTACATAATTAGATCACCATATATAGAAAAAAAATTTCACATTCTAAGTAAACTTTCCACACTTCAGAATTCTCTACTCTTTCATATACATACATCTATAGGAGGGGTACCACCAGAAAAAATGGAATTTTTTTCTCAAAGCTGTATATTTAATTGTTCCCCCAAACAAACTTATCACCCACATTATACTCTCCACTATACTTAATACATTTGCCAAATCTGCAATTCCATTCTTGAAAACATTTATCAAACTTATCTGCTTGGATGGCTGACAGTACCTCCTTCATTTTTTCTTCACCACTTCCATTTCATCAAATCATCCTTTCATGTCCTTCTGCATTCATGGAAACAAAGCGAAGTTGCATGGTTTGAGGTCAGGTGAGTAAAGTGCATGGGGTAAGAGAGGCATGCTGTTTTATACTAAAAACTGGTGCACTGCGATGGTGGCATGAGTAGATGCATTGTCGTGGTGGCAGAAGGAGTCCACATAAGTTAGGGTTTTGTTGGTGTTGTTGTTGCACACAGGTATCTATCTTTTCAGAATCTCTAAGCTGAAAGCTTGATTAAAAATCTGACCTGGTGGAATGAACTCCAAATGCACTAGAATTGGCATTTTCATCCATTTGAGAAGTTGATGAATCTCCAGTATGAGGTTTGTCATCAATCAACATTTCACCTTTTTTGAAAACTCGTACACTTGAGTTTTCCCAAAGCACTCACTGTCCTTTTAACTGTGTTCAACATCACAACAGTTTCTGAGGAATTTTTCCCCAGCAGGAAACAAAATTTCATAGGCACACTCTGTTCTTTTAAATTGGCCATCACAAAAAAACAAGGTTTGAGTGTAACTGCTTTTATGAATACAATTTACTGTGACCAGAGAGAACTTTCCCAGGTGATGCTACTGGGTGCACTAACTCAGAGTGAGTTGCTGATGCTTGCCTAGTAGTGAAAATATGTACAATAAAAGCTCTGCCCAGTGGAGCTTTTTTCCATTGTGTGTGTGTGTGTGTGTGTGTGTGCATGTGTGTGTGTAACCCCTTGCAAGTTCATATATAAGAATATATGGATTCTGGAGCTGAAAACTACTATAACTAAAAGTTCAAATTCATTTGAGTGACCCAACAGCAGAATTGATCTCACAGAAGAAATAGTAAACTAATATGAAAAAAAAATTCCATTGAAATTATGCTCTTGGAGGAACAGAGAGAAAAATGATGAAGAAAAAGTAGCAAATTATTGTAGACACATGCAATGCAATCAATCAAAAATATAAAGAATATAATTCTAGACAAGAGGAAGATATATAGGATAATAAAATATTTAAATAAATAATGTCCAAATTTAAATAGAAATATCAAGCTCCATGTTCAAGGGTGCATACATTCAAAGAGATTTAAATCGAGACTTTGGAATTTAAACTACAGAGAGATAACATTTTAAGTAAAAAGAAAGAGGCAAATCACCACAGATGGGAAGCTCTGTGATTTAAAAAAAAATTTCAAAAGGCACTCATCTGATATAGTTAAGGTAATGTGGGAATAATGTCCGTTAACTAAGAAAAATCAGTAGCCAATAATACTTACTCTCAAACATTAAGGGAAAAGTTTGACGTTTGTACATAAACACTAATCCAGAAAACATTTTATGTTAGAAGATTTGCCTTGCAAATAAAAATATAATGGATAATATAATAAATACACAGAAGAATTAAAAAAGCAACAATAAAGGTAACATCATAAGCAAAACAAAAACAAAATAATATTTTGCTTGTAATTTGCTACAATATCCCATTAAAAACACAAAATACAAAAAAATATATATTCATAAAGCAATAATTTTAAAACTGTATTGGTGACCTTATTCTACATAACAGTAATTTTCTTGGGGGGGGGCAGAAAAAAAACGCTTGTTGAAATGTATTAGTATCAGAACCTGTACAAAAAAACCCTAAATTAAAATATAACCTAAAACTGTTCGGGTTCAGGACGGCTAGTCAAGTCCTTTTCTCAGGTCAGGAGAAGAATGCCACTTTCAGGGTCTCTGGGTCACCTGCCAGGGAGGAGTGGAGAGGCAGGCACAGCCACATCCTTCATCCTGGGGGCAGCTGGGCTGCTGCAGGTCTCAGGGTCTCATTGTGCTGGTGGCTGCTGCTGGCAGGCAGCCCAGGTGTAGCTGGGCCTAGGCGGCGAGACCAGCAGAGACCACCAGGCTGAAAATAGCCTTCCTGCCTCCCTCTGCCTTCCAGAGCCTCTCTAGAAGCTCTCAGAGCCCAGAGAGTCAGCCCAGTGCCCCAAAGAGTGCAAAGATGGGAATGAGCTCAGGAGGCTGACAGGCTACAGTTTTAGTAAACAGAGCCCTGCACCACCCAGTCAGGGCCCAGATTGGAGGTGCCAGCAGGGGTAAGGCAGGAGAGGAGACACAGAGCACTGGCCTACAACACTGTGGGCCCTGTGGTACTGGGGGTGACAGGGGAACCTTCAGTCAGCCCTATGGATTGAGGAAAACTGTCTTCTGCCTGTGACCAGCCTGGCAAAGCTCTGTGCCCACTACACAGATGGGGGCAAGAAGCTCCCCAAGGGGAGTTGGGCAGTGCCTGATCCTGTTGGGGTGGCACCTGTGGAGCCCCTGAGTCTGAAGGGAAAGAGGGAGTGGGAAGGAAAAGGAATCGGAGTCCTGGGATTTCTGGAAGAGTGTTATTAAAGGGAGACACTGGTGAGGGGACGGGCAGGCTTGGAACTCACTGAAGGTAGAAGGGAGAGAAACGGGGCCCTAGGTGTCCCCGCCAGACCTGGCCCAGGCCTGGTGAGTGCCAGCTGCCCCGGCCAGCGCTAGTGGTGGCTGGAGACCAGGCCTTTCACTTTGGACATCTTCTTGGTGGGCTGCCTCTGCTCAGCATGAGGGGCACTCCAGCTCGGCCATCTGCTGCTCCATCTCCTGCGTGGAGGACGACGTGGTGGCTTTGAGCATCTTCTCGATGTTGGTGACCTCTGTCTCCTCCTGCTGCTGAGTTTGGTAGGAGTTCTCTTTGTACTGGTTGGCTCTCAGGACTCGCTGCTCCATGCCTAACAGCACTGCTTCACAGCCGTCACACCACTCGTGCAGGGTCTTGATGATGTTGTTGATGTCTTTCTTGTGGATGTCCCGGCCAATGCAGACATCCACTTCCAGCAGCTGGTTGGCTGGTCCAGCTTGCCATGGAGGATGTCAATCCACTTCCAGCAGCTGGTTGGCTGGTCCAGCTTGCCATGGAGGATGTCAATGATGAGGTCTTCCAGCTCCCGCAGGCTGCGCATCTGCAGGTTCTCCAACAGCACCGAGTCGGGGATGCACTTCATCCTGGAGGCCAGGCTCACGATGGGGAGGTCCTTCAGTTTGTTCTGCTGGGCGGTGCTCAGCTTGGGCAGGCTCTCCTTGTTGGCTATGTAATCTGGGTACGCTCCATAGGCAAACAGGTTCAGCAGCTGAAAGTAGGTGGCACTCACTCCTGCGAGCTCCTGTACATTGACCAGCTCTAGCAGTTCTCCAAAAACGTGGACTCCAGGTGCCTCCAGGACTTGGCTTATGAGAGCGGTGAGGGCTGAGTCACTGGTGCCATTGGCCAGAAGGATAAACGGTTCTAGGAGGTTACTTGAGGGTTTCTGTTCACCTGCCATCCTCTGGCCTTGCGAGGCTGTCTGCGCCGCGTCTCTCTGTCTTCTGAGTCTCTGGCCCGGCCTCCCAGCGTCTACCCGCAGGTTGTCAAGCATCCATGGTCGGCGGCCATAATAGTAATTTATATCTGACGATAATAACAAATGTGGAGGGAATTAGCTGAATCTAGTTTTAATATTTTCAAATTTTATTTTGTAGTTAAGGTTGATTATTAATAAATTAAGATGTTACTTATAATATTAAGAGCAATAAATACTGTATTAGTCTGGGTACTTTAGAGAGACAAATCCAAAGCAACTCATATATAAGAGAGAGTTTTATGTAAAGATTAAGTGTGCATCAAGAAAACATCCTAACCCAATGCTGCCCAAGCCCACAAGTCCAACATTAACCCATTAACCTGTATGTCCAACACCAATCCACAAAGTCCTCCATCTCAAAAAACAGAGGCGATGATGCCAACTGCAAGAGGAAAGCTGAGTCAGTGAATGTATAAGCATCTCAGCACTGGCAGGGGTCTCTACACGGGTGCTCCAGCACCCACGGCTGCATCGGGATAGGTCCACGTGGCTTCTCCTTGGGAATGTCTTGTAGGAAGTCAGTCTTGCAAATTGAAGCAGGGAACTGCTAAGGCAGCTGTACCCTGGTGCGACCATCACAAAGCAAGAAACCTGAGAACTGGAAAGGCGAGGTTCACCGAGCCATTTATCCCTCCGCCTTTTAATTAATCCCACATGCGTTTATTGGCCAGGTTGGCACAATAAACTAACTAACTCAAGTACATATTAGTTTAAAAACACAGTAAAAAAAGGAAAATACATATAATGATTGGAAACCTAATAGGGAAGTTCTACTCTGACTGATAGGTTCACTACGAGTTAGAAAAGACTTGATGTCAACAAGTGACAAAATATCTATCTAACCCTTGTAGGGTTGGTATGTCAGCATAGACTCAAGGGCAGGGATTTTGATTTCCAGTTACCAGTAATTACAAATATACATATAGATTAGACATTTCACGCACACAAAAGAAGAAATTGGAAGAATGGATTAAAAACAATATTGAATATATTAAACTATGGGGTTTTTCTATGTTTCTTTGTTTTTTATGAGAAGCAGTTGGAATTTAAAGATACTTGTAGCATGAAAGACAAACATGTAAAAGGGTGTACTAGGAATCTAGCAACCAAGAAGAGACCTTCAACACAAAGTTGCTGCTATTGAGTCAATGCCTACTCAAAGGAACGACCTGCGGGTTTCTGTATAGAAAGTCCTGTCTTTCTCACACTGACCATGTGGATCACAGCACAACCTGAAACCACTACACCGCCAAGGCGGTGTAACAAAAATCAAACTTAAAGAAACCCTAGACAGGCCAAGACTGAGTCACATGTCACATTTGTAGGGTAGCTGACCCCCTTTTCTGGAAGATCCTGGTGCCTCAGGCTTCTAGAAAGGAATGGCGGTGTGACCACAATGCAGGCACAGGACAAAGAGGTAGGTGGATGCAGCATAGGAGGTCCATTGAATAATAAAGTTGGGATACACTGGGGACAGACCACCAGCGGGTCTGTACTACCAAAAGGGTGAAAGTAGTGAGACACCACCCAGAGCTTACAGGCAAGGATATTAAAAAGAAAAAACAAACAAAACAAACAAAAAACCCAGAAGTTGTCCCTGATGGGCTGGGATGCAACTACGTCCTCACTAACCTCACTCAATGTCTTGGGGGGGTCAAGCTCATGGCCTCTGGCCTCCCCTTTTCTGCTAAGTGGTGACTCATCAGTCAGACAGCTCAGGGGGCTTTCCCTGTTCTTGTCTGAATCTCTACTCAGATACAAAGGAGGCGGCACTTCAGTCTAAGTGTTTGCATTAGTGTTTTAAAACATTTGTCCTTGTACTTTCATATTGTTTGCACTTTATTTGTATTAAATATCATGGCCATGGCTCCAAAGAAAGTTAATGATACCTGAAGTAAAGCTAAGAGGAAAACGGAAAGAACTGTGAGAGAGTTGCGAGAGAGTTCAAGAAAGAAACCATTTCAAAATTTGAATCAAGTTGTCGCTCGCCTTATTTGGCAGCCGAACACAAAATGGCAAAGTCCATATTATCAACATTGAGAAAAAAAAGGAAAGTGAATAAATGTATCAGAGCTGTGAAGTCATTAGCCACAACACAAAGAACCCAGACGTTAGAAGGCATAGAAAAGTCACTGTTAATTTGGATAAATCAGAAGTAATTCGATGGTAATAGCCTATCTGAGACAGTGACATTCAAGAAGGCTAAAAGTCTCCATAGGTATGTAAAGTCTTGGAAAAATGAAGTGCAATTGTTGGACCTCAAATTCAATTATTTGCGTTTCTCTTATTATGGGAAAAAATAAGCTCCATTCTTGAACTTTTCCATCTTTGAACAAGGATTTGGAACAAACTGAGTACGACAACCTAGGTATCACTATCCCTACAAAGACCAATTATGATATATGTAAACGATGTAGTCAACTACATAATCTGACTAGTCCTAGCCAACACCGTGCCAGAGTGGATTATCTTAAGAAGGAAAACCAGTGACACATGTATGTGGACATATCTAAATAATACTTTTTTTATCAAGGAATGCCTCACTAAGTCTAGTCCAGTTCAGATCAGCGAGTCACGTGTAAGCTGAGGGTTACTCTTAACTCCTGTTGTTGATGAATAGGAAGCAGAAAGATGCAGCAGGGGGACCAGAGACTGATGGGTGCTGGGCATTCAAGGTTGACAGTCTGCTGATGACTCCAGGGATCAGAAGGTTATATAATCAGAGCCCACCAACCGGATGCAGAATCCAGATTCAACCAAAATAAATTAGTTTACACACAGGGACAATTTATACTGAGTAGCCCAAAGCCTGAAGGAACGCCCCACAATTGTATCAAGGCTGTGACCCATTAAGGTTTATTCTTTCCTGATCCAAGCCAGGGTATTCTCACTCACCTCATGTATATGTGAAAATAGGATATTGAATTAAAAAGATCAAAGAAGAAGAGATGCGTTTGAATTATAATGCTGGCTAAGAAGTAGAACCAGATAGTTTCTTAGAAGCAAGGATGTACTTTGTAAAGAGGAGTCCTTGGAAAAGGACATATGCCTGGGGCAGAAGAGGGACATGAAAAAAGAGAAAGGACCACCACAAGATATATGGACACAGTGTCTGTAACGATGGCCTCAAACATAGGAACAAGTGTGAGGGTAGCGCAGCATGGGTGATGTTTTCTATGTTGTACAGAGAGTCACTATGGGTCAGAACTGACTAGGCAACACTTAACAACAACAAAATTCTGTCCATATCTTCCTAACTGATTCACGGAGGATCTCAGAGTATGTGAGACCACATCATGGGAATATCTGGCCCAAACTAGCTGACACAAAATCTATCACAGACATCTGAAGTACACTCCACCCAAAATTAACAAAATTAACATTCTTTTCAATAGCACATAAAACATTATCCAGAGTAGGCAAAAATTAAGCCATAAAAAGTTTAATCCAATTTTAAAAAGTGAAATAATTCAATGAATATTTGTCAACAAAAAATTAAATTAGAAGTCAATTACAAAAGAAAATTTTGAATATATGAAAATGTGGAAATTGTACAACAAACTCAAACAGCCATTGGTAAATTTAAGGTATCACAAGAAAGATTTTAAAATACTGAAATTTATTTTAATCAAACCAAACTCACATAAATGTAGGGGATATATTAAAAGTAAAATGCATAGAGAAATATGAGGTGGTACACCATGCAAAGAAAGAAAAAAAAACCCCAGGAAAAAAGCTCTTCTGGGCAGAGCTTTCATAGTAAACAGTTTCCCCCCTTAGTCGGGCATCCAGCAACTCACTCTGAGTTAGCGCACCTCATGGCGATACCTGGTGTGTTAGTCTGGGTAGACTAGAGAAACAATTTCATAAACACTCATATATATATAAAAGAAAGGTTTTTTTAATAAAGGGTACATTAAGAAAACATCCCAACCCAGTCCAGATCAGGCCCATAACTCTGATATTAGCCCATATGTCCAATACCAATATATAAAGTTCTCTTCAGACTTACATGCAATGATGCTGAACGCAGGACAATCACAGGTCAGTTGGTAGAAAGTCTTTGGACCCAGTGGCATTATAAGCATCTCAGTGCTGCCAGGGGTCTCCACGTGGCTTCTCGAGCTTCCAGGGCTGCATCAGGGTAGTTCCATGTGGCTTCCTCTCAGGGATGTCTCGCAGGGAGTCAGCATAGAGAGAGAAGTGTCTTGTAAGTAGAACTTCTCCCATGTGTCTGGTCAGTAGAGTATTGCCAAGGGAGTGAGCAGAGAGTCTCTCTCACCTCCAAGGAGAAAGCCATGCCCACACAGAGGCCTCATTTGACACCAGATTATGTAACTACCACACCTAGGAAGGTTCTCTCAGGTCACAGTGAATTTTTTCCTAAGCAGTTTCGCTCAAACCTCAGTTTTTTTGTGTGATGGCTGATTTAAGAGAGTAGCAGGCGGCTATGAAATTTTGCTTCCTGCTCAGGAAAAACGCCACAGAAACGGGTATGATGTTGAATAGAGCTTACAAGGACAGCGCTATAGGAAAAACTCAAGTTTATGAGTGGTTTCTCATTTCAAATACGATGAAAAGTTGATTGATGATATACCACATTCTGGATGTCTGTCAACTTCCCAAATGGATGAAAGTGTAGACTCAAAGTGCATTTAGAGTTCATTCCACCAGGTCAGACTGTTATGCAAGCTTTCTATTTAGAGGATCTGAAAAGATAGCATGACAGTGTGGGACAAAAAAAGGCCTGACTTGTGGCAGATGGGGTCTGGGTTCTGCCACCACAACAATGAACTTATTCATGAAGTCATTTCAGTGTGCCAGTTTTTGGCAAAAAACAGCATGTCTCTCCTACCCCATGCACCTGGCCCACCTGACCTCACTGCATGCAACTTTGTGTTTCTGCAAATGAAGAGGGACAT